GTGTGTGGATACACTAACTAATATTCTCCATTGCTCAAGTTGTGGAGGAGAGGTGGAAAAGGGAAACCCTACCAAAAGAAACACAACAAAACAGAACATAGTGGCGATCAAAGCCAATTGGATGCTGCAGTTTCACATGTGTTTCCCATCTCCCTTCATCAGTGGAGATGAAACCTATTTAGGTAGCTCTCTGATCTAATCTGATCTGTGCCTAAATTGTCCTGTCTTGTGTCTGTCCACCACCTTCCATCCATGGCTCCATGCTTCTTTCAATCAACCAGCTGTCTTATGTTTCTCCCTAAGGTGTCATGTATAATCATATTTTAGTGGATGTTGGTTTAGATACTGTGATGAGTGCTTTTCAATGTCAAACTAGCTAATAGTATTTGCCTATTTGGAGGCTGTCAATATATTGCCTAGTCCATTTTAGAGGTTAGAAAACAATGATAGGGAGATGTACCAATAATTGGAAGTTCATGAGGTGTTTCTCGCTAGTTGTTATCATCAATCTCAATAAACAATCGAAATCGATATGTCTCCAATAACTTAATTTTCGAATATATTAAGATCACAATAAATAGTTTTGAAAATGATAAATTCTACTTGAAAGATAAGTGTGAAGAAACGGGAATAAAGAGAGGAGATAACGGGGTTTCAATAGTATTACCATGTGGGCCGATAATTATTGTCATAATCCTCGTATCTTGTAATAGTTATTAAGTCAATATTGACCACTAACTCTTATAATTAAAAAATCATTAGGATGTATTAAATCTCGCATTTAATCTGTTTAATAGTCCAGATTCATATAAATCGGATAAAATACTACGAATTCATCCCGTGGCCAGGAGACACCCTCCTAGCAACCTAGCCTAACTCATTGACTTGGGAAGAAATTGAACTTGCACAAGAAAAGGAAAAATTGGGTAACTCACAAAACCTTTTCTAGGCATGACCATTCATTGTTTTAGTTGAGAGGGTCACTTCACCACACATATATTTTTTCTTTTTTGGGTGAGACCAAACAAGCTATAAGCTCCTTGAGCCTTGTAGTGGGTAATAGATTAATGGCCCAACATATATTTGAGCAACTTTTTCCTCTTCTTTCTTTCTTTCTTTCAACATTTGTCAACCCTCCCAGGTGTGAGAAAGAAGGAAGACCCCAAAGCCACCAAGATGATTGGATCCAGCATATAAAGCAAAAGATGTGGTAGTTAGGTTTTCAAGTTTTGGACACATATTTTTAATTCCTTTTTATGTATAGAGATAGTGGAGATCCTAATCTAAGTCCTAAATCTAAGTGTACTATTATTTCCCAAAGCCACCCTAGTTAGCTAAGCTATCAAATTATAATAATTAAGCAAACCCATGTTGAGAATAATTTCAATTAATTAAGAAGTAGCATTGCCTCATGCATGATTCCTATGGTATATTCATTCAGTCACTAACTTCCAAGGATATGAATAAATATGCCTCATGTGCTTCCAATATCATCTTGAGTATAAAAAGATCAAGTTCATTTTCTTTAACAAAAAAAAAGGTTAACCAACCTTGTGTATGAGTGAGTGGGGGATATAAGGCTGAAGATTTTACTCATCATGAACAATTAATTACCAAATCCAAGGGTTGAAATAATAAAGATTGTTGTATTGTTTTCATTATAAGTATATGATTTTGAACCGAATGATCGATCCATAATTCAAGTTTCACCGTTATTGCTAAGCAAAACACTACTGTGTGTATAGCGGGCATCAGTTGAATTATGTACATTAACTCACTCGCCAACATAATTGAGTTGACGAAATTATCGAATGAAAAAAAAAACTAAATTTGCAAAGCAACTAAACCTAATGGGAAAATATAGTCTATTGAATTAGTTGAAAAGGGCACTGGTTTTTTCGAATAGGAAAGAGAGGAGACAGTGGTGGGTCTTTCTTGGGGGTTTAATGAAGACTTTTGCGAGAGGTTGAGCTTTTTGAACAATAGAACACTTAACAAGGAACTTATTGATCATCATCAACTTAATTAATGAGACCCAATATCATTGTTTATTAGCAAGTGGATTAAAGTAAAGCTAATTAGCTTCTTAACAAGAACTCTTCCGCCACCTTCAATCGCTTTCACCCTCTCTCTCTCTCTCTCTAATATTAGAGTTGTAGTTAGTAAGATTCGGCAAGATCCGCCCAGAAAAGTAGAGAGAGATTAAGATTAAAAAACGAGGGGCAAACATCATTAAGTGGAATATAAAACTAATACCAACACAAGCTAAACACAAAACACTGAAACAGTATTGGTTGTGGGACGACATAATTTGAAAAGAAGATTGTTTGTGTGTGTGGTGTTATAGATTTCAACGTCAATCACGCAAACATCTCTAAAACAAAGGCTAGTCCATCATCACCACGTAACTTGGGAGGTGGCCCAATAGATTATATTGCTCATACATGCTAACTAACACCTGAGAATATGAATTCTCCTCCCTTTCTCTCTCAATCTCAGGTCAGATCAATTCGATTAGCGTTTTTATACGTAATAGAAGCGAAATCGATATTGAATCTTATCTGATAGAAAATGCCGTTGGTTTGGTGGAGTTTGAACATGACCGATTAGGTCACAAAAAAAGTTTAAATAAAAAGAATGTTAATGGAAAAATCATAACAAAAAACAAATTATATATCGGTATGATCCAGTCAGTATTCCATAATATTAGACATCGGTATAAGATTTATTTTCGTGCCTCTCAAAAACAATACACGAGTTATCTGGAGCAACTGGCTCTTAAAATGGCACCAGAATTTTGAATTGCAAGGTCTCGTGCTCAACTCTGCACAACCCCTAACACTAACACGATTTAACCACATAGTATTGTGATTATGTGGGAAAAAAAAAATTCAAGCCTACGAATTGACTATTATTTCGGGGGGCATATTACAATTTGATATAAGATTTATTTGTAATTTTGTCCGGTCATTAACTTGAGCGGTTCGAAATAACTATTTCTTGATCACAATTCACAAGTAAAACCTAGATTTGATTGGATTCGATGGTTTCCCAACCGGTCACATCCCTGCAAACTGAAGTGAAAGATGCATTTGAATGATGAAGTCGATCTTGTTGCAGCCCACATAACCTAGAAGTTGCTCATGCTCAAAAAGAAGAGAGAGAGAGAGAGAGAGAGAGAGAGAGAGAGAGAGAGAGAGAGAGAGAGAGGAAATGTGAAATAATTGACCATGTACACTAAATGGAGCAATCAGTACTAAGTATATAAGTTAATGGCCCACGTGTCACAATCAGACATATCTTCCATATCTTCCAACAGGCAACAGATACGCAAAGTTTTTGTGTTTTCACAATTATATATATGTTCCATGCTACGCTTTCAACCCTCCTTTCCTTAATTTGTTCTTTCATGTCGATCTCTTGCTCTCAAATTTCTTCATCAACAAGTTACAATAGAACGTGAATTGGTGTCTAGCTGTTTAAACCAACCAGGTTTTGGTTAGGTATGAACGGGGTTAAATCGATTTGTGAATAGTAGGACAAAGGCTACTTCAAACTCATGTATCGATCTCGACACTTTTTTTTCCTTTCTTCCTGTAGTCAACATGTTTACTATATGGCTTTTTTCACCCATTATGGATTCTTTTACTTTGTATTCACAAAAACCACGAATGGCATGTTCTTGGTGCTAGTTTGTCGATATCCAGATTTGAGAATTGAGTCACTCACAACAATTTTAGTTATCAGTATAAAACATGTGTCCCTAAACCCTCTTTAACCGTCTCTATAAAACATCACTTGTCTCCCTCCTTCTCCCTCTCTCTCATTCTTAATAAGGAAGCATGAATGAGGTTGTGGTTGATTAATAAGGAAGCATGGATTCTTTTTTCCTTTTCCTCTACGCATGGTGCATAACCCTAGGGTTGTTAATGAGCCGAGCCGAGTTGTGCCTTGTTCATGTTCGGCTCGTTTATTAACGAGCCGAGTCGAGTCGAACACGAGCTAGCTCATTTATTAAATCTTGATACATCATTAAGATCGAAAGTTTGGCTCGAACTCAACTCTAAGATAATTTATATTTATAATATAAAAATACCCTAATATTTATATGTCATATGTGATACATGTGATTACCAAATATTATGTCATATATGAGACGTATTTGCTTGCATATACTCAATGTATTAAACACCATATGAGGTGATATATGCACTTTAATAATTATATGCATCATTAACAAACCAACTCATAAAATACAGATTGATTTTCTCATAAGCCGTAGTCGAGTTGGCTCTCACTACAAGAAAATTAGCTTTTAGCGGCTAAACTTCGCGGCACATAAAATATTTGCCTCTAAAAATATGTTATGCAGGACTAATATATTATATGTCTCTAAAAGTATTATTTTTTGTCGTTATAAGTATTATTCTTTTATATTACATTTTATTCAATTTAAAATATTGTTTTTAGGGACACTTTTTTTGTAACTGTTAGCTAAAAGGTATGCCTTCATATCGTGTAAAAATAAATGTTATTTTTATAATTAATTATCATAGTTTTTTGCAGGCAGATAGTCATTTGCTTCTAAATAGAAGCTTTTAAAGGCTAAAAAATGAGTTGTTGCTTCTTCATTTTGAATGAGCTAAGATGACAAATTTTAGGCGACGCAAAAAAAAAATTTCATTGGCAACAAATACATTTGCCTCTAGATGAAACTATTATTATTCTAACAAAATTAAAAAAAAAATAAACGAAGAGGTTTGGAATAAACTAAGTACCAAATCCACTACCCATGATTTTCGCTTCTCCTTTTAACTGCCTTCATTTTCTTTTAAGAGATAAGATAGAGTGGTTTAACTTTAAACTTTTTTTACCGAGATTTTATAGGAAAATGGACTTGAAGGAAAATTAAATCATTCAAATTAAATAAATGAAGAGATACATGCCGATTTTTAGAACATATTAGTTGATACATTGGGTTTTTTTCTTCCCCCTCTGGTTTCAGAGAAGTGTTTTCTTATATGGTAGTGTCAGAGATTGAGAGAGGAGACTAGCAATGCGTTTACAGACGATCAACCACAAAAATGATCGAAGATGGCGTTATCGACGGCCATCCTGCCCCACGTCACCGTCATCTAAATCTTGTACTCTTCAATCTAGTCACCACAGGTAAGGCTTTTGCCTCGCTATCCTGGTTGTTCTCCTATTTTTTGCGCCTCTTTCCATTTTTTCTTGGCTTCTCGAAATTATGGATTTTGACTTTGTTAAGATCATTTCAGGATTTCTTTTGAGTTATCGAAGTCCGGAGAAGGAACTCAAACGAGAGTCATCGTTGCCGATTTTCATAAAGCGCTCACTGCTCGATCGATGCCGATATGCCATGGATTGCAACTTTGCAAACCCCTAATTCTTTCAGTTTGGGAGAAAACTTCTTCTCTTATTTTGGGTCAGCCCTTGATAGGATTGACTTAACTCTAGCCAGAGAGCAGCAGATTGGGGATGCATAGCTAATTAGTACAAATTGGATTAATTTTGTATGTTGTAGTTCCTTTTTTTGGAGAATTTTGTACTTTTTTTTATTTACCCTGGAATTCAATCGCTATAATTATTCATTTTCATAACATATTAGCATTGACAAGTTGTTGTCAATAAATGAAATCAAGTACAAAAATAAAACTTTGGCCTATATCTGATGCAAAATCACATAAGCAATAAAGCTAATTATTGTAGAAAATAGCTAAATTAAAGACGGAAAATACCCATTAGAGGCACATGGTTTCTTCCTATAGATTAATTTAAAGGCAAATGCAATAGTCCCCAAAACAAATTCTGGGAGCATAAATATCAGCCGCTAATGTAACATTAATGGCAATAATTAGTGCTACTAAAGTGAGAAAAGACAATTAAATAGTAATTCAAAAGTCAAATAAGCAACAAAGCTTTCTGTCACAAATTCCTACATTAGCAGCATATATATTTGTCGCCAACATCTGCTGCTAAAGAGATTTAGCGGCAGCAGTATTCACTGCACACGTTTATGTGCCACTATAAATCTACCGAGGCACATAAATGACTTATTGTGACAAATGCACTTAGCTGCTAAATATCATTTTTCTTGTAGTGTCTCTATTCACAATGTTGGGACATTTCATAAGCTCAAAATGAGATAGTTCATGAGTTGTATTAACGAGCCACCTAATCGAGCTAGTTCACGAGCCGAACAAGGCAGAGCTCAAGCTCGTCTCGTTTATTAACGAGCTGACCTTTTTTTTAATCGAACAAGGTTTTATCAAGTTCGAGACCGAGCCGCTCACGAATAGCTCGGCTCGGTCCTAAATTAACGCCCCATAAGAGATCCAAGTTTTGACTTTTGGATTAATGCTCAAAGAAGCTGGATAGAGAGAGATAGTGGTACATAGTTGTGGGAATAGTTTTGGTGGTATTGCGGTCGCAGTCAGCTTAGCCCCTTGGAATGGCATATTCAAACAAAAGAGCTACTTCCCTTTCCCAAGCCTTTTGCTCCTCAATGGTAGAATCCAACTAATAAAACATCTTAATTAATATATAACATCAATTTAGAGTAAACATTATTTTATGCCAAAACAAAACATGATTAGGTTTAATAGATCTGGATCATGGATGAACAACATTAACATTGTTTTTTTTTTTTAATATGTGGTCGAGAGGCATACGTGTCAAATACAAATGTGGTGGTCTCTCTTGTAACCCATTATGTACAATTTGTTTTTGACAATCCCCATTATGTACATTTAAGTAGTGGGTCTTTGGCAAAACAAGCCCTAATAAAGAATATACTCTAAACTGATGGATGATCATGATCGTTAATCTAGTTTAATGGTGATCATCAAATGTAATTTGTGCCATTCAAACCATAGATATGTTGGCTTCTAATTGGCTACATGCCACACTTTGAAACCCACTTACACTTTGCATCATCACTCCAAGTGGTCCACAGCAGCATGCATACCTCTTCCACTCCACAATTACATACTTTAATACTTAGTTTAGGGATCTATTACTAACATTTATTGAAATGTTATAGCATGGGTAATGGATTATTAGCAAACCATCCATTCATTTAGTCAGAACTAAACGCATATGGTTGACTAAAGTTACATTTTGAGAAGAGATGTAGAACTATCACTTAAGCTAAGTAGACGAGAATTTCGTATAGTTTCTGATTGGATTAGATGATAGTTTGGAAAAAACTACTTTGCCAACGAACTTGATCTAACCGATCCACCACCGACAACTTTTTTTTTATAATATCATAGAAATATTTCAAATATTCTTTTCGCAAGATAAAAACATATCACGTTTTCATTTAGTTTCTTTATCAAATATATTCTCTTTCCCTCTTTTCTTTTACCGGTACTATATAAATGATTGTAAAACCGTACTGGAAGCTATACCTGGAAAGTTTGTGATAAGATGTTTTGTACTGAAATCGTGATTCAACCATTTGGTATCGCTAAAGCAGCCTACTGTTTAGGGTCTGGTATTTTCAATCGAACCAGCCGATACGATAAGATTTTTTAAACTATATTACCACTATATACAAACATACCCTCCATCACTCCCTCTTCTCCTCCCCTGCTTTCCTGCTTCTTTCCTTGTTAATCCATTTGCTATATATACACAACCCCAACTCCTCCAACCCACCTCTTCTACTTACTTACTTCCCATCTCTCTCTCTCTCTCTCTCTCTCTCTCTTTCTCTCTCTAACCAACTAAACTCCCTTCCACAAATACTGTTAAGTTCATCATTAATTACTCTGTTTACAAGTTGTGGGTTGAAATCGATTCATGGAAGAAGTGGAGCTCCAAAACTACCAAAACCCCGACACGTCGTCATCATCCTCCGCCTCCCCACGGCTAAAGCTCTTCGGCTTCAACGTCTCCTCATCGTCTAATTACCCAGAAGATGATAATTACAACCATAATTACAACAGCTATTACGATGAAGACCACCGCCATCAGCACCAAATCAACGCTGTAGCTGAATCACTAGAATCCAGCTGCTTCCCCTCTTCCACCTCGGGCCCACCAGATCCGCCGCCGACTGCGGCGGACGGCGGAGGGAACGGCAGGAAGTACGAGTGCCAGTACTGCTGCAGGGAGTTCGCCAATTCCCAGGCTCTAGGGGGACACCAGAACGCACACAAGAAGGAGCGACAGCAGCTGAAGCGGGCCCAATTGCAAGCCACCCGCAACGCAGCGGCGGCCGCGGCCGCCGCCGTGTCTTTCTCCGGCGGTATGATTAGGAATCCCATGATCTCCGCCTTCGCTCCGCCGCCGCATCTCCTCCCTTCCCCTCCGTCCGGCGGCGCTGGATCCCTAATTGGGCCTCCTTCTTGGGTTTATTTGCCCCGTACCGCGCCGCCGTTTGGGGTCTCCCATGGCGCCGTGTTTGGCGGCGGTGGTGGGAGGGGCGGAGGGGGTTTTTTGTACGGTGGTGGCGCCGGAGGGGAGCTGGGATTGTCGGGTGGGTCCCACCATAGTCCGGATGGGCCGACTTCACTTAGCAGATTCTCGAGAGGAGAAGGTGGGCCCAGTGTCGATGACTCGTTGGGCTTGGACTTGCATCTCAGTCTGGCTCCAGCTGGCCCGTGATCTCTTTTTTTTTTTTTTTTTTTTTGGCTCGTGGTTATGTATAATTTTTTGTATTTGCTGTAGGGATATATGACTTTGGATGTTTTTCATTTATAGACTCCGATGGTCTTGTACATTTGTCCAATTAATATCTATTTATTTATTTTGATGGAATCCGTGATTCTTTTCTATATTTATAGATCTTTCTATAATTTCTTACTTAATTTTGTAATTAATTTGCTAGAAAATAACTGAAGATTGAAGAACAAAGGGACATGATTAAAGCAAACGATAAGCCATTTTAAGTCTTCGGTAGGTCAAAAAGGAGGGCGAGTTTATTGAAATATGGGTATCATATTGTAGTTAACTAATTCCTATTTATGGTTAATTACCACTAGTTTTGTAATCCAAATCTTTGAAATTACAATAATAATATTGACAAGCGAGTCTACTGACTACCTCTCATGGATTAGTCTCAACCAGTTGATTCATTATAAATTGATTATCATACTTCAACAATGTCTTGGCAAAATTAGGGGGGGAATCAAACTCGAGTTCATAGGATGTGAATATGCATGATTAGTCTGTTCCGTTAAAAAAAAAATTCTACTTAATTTCTTCACATTGTATTTGTCCAAAAATAGCTAAACCGTATGTGACAGACATTACTCAAATTTTGTGGCTAAAATGGTCCACACGACGAGGGGAAAACCCTAAAGATTCATGGGTGTGTTTCTTTCCTTCTTAAAACGTCACTAGCTAGCTTAGTGATCATGTTGCCTCTTCTTGATCCTCTCTCCTTCCAACTCCTCCCTTCATGGCTCCAAATGTCGTGACTCACGATGCTGCTGTTAGGGAAAAGACCAGAAGGAAAGTATGCAAAATCAATTTCTTAGTTAGGGAGAATCAAAGGGAGACAGGAAAACATTGTTTCTATGATTAAGAATTCAGAACGGTTTACTGTTTGGAAACTAAATTCTCAAATCTCAATGCTTATTATATGGAGTAGCTAGTCTCCCAAATCTCCAACTAACCCTTTTACATCCCATCCCATGATGCATATAAGATATAGGTATTGTGTGGTAGGTAGATTCGTTTGGTGGCCATGTTTGTCATCTTTGTGTTGAAAGGTATAGATTGCTAGCAAGATTAACCAAATTTTAATCATTAATAAGATAACTTACTAGAGTTTTTCATTAATTCCTGTGGGTCCAACTCCTCACATGCTTGGCAAAAAAATTCTTTCCTTGATTAGACTAACAAGAAAAATTGGAGCTTCCTACACAACATAAAAGAAAGAATAGAAAATGGAGGTTTATTTGTGTTTGATTTGAATTAATTCATTGAGAAGCAAGACTAAGATCTATCTTCATTGATAGGTTATGAACGAGTTGATTTCGACAATTTTTGTTTATTTATCTGAACTGAATGTGTTAAAAGAATTCGATAACTTGTAATCTGTATATATATTATGTGGTAGTTAAAATATAATATCACCGATTAATTAAAGAGATATTTCATACATATTTATCATTAACGAAGAATTCTAGTGTCAGTCATGCAGACAAATTCTAATTATTATTGATGGATCAATGATGCATTCATCCTTTGCTACATTCTCTTCTATCCCCCTATAAATAAAACTATGAATCGGTGTAGTTCAACCTGCAAAATGGTCAAACATGATAATACCTAATCTAGTTTATGATAGGCACACATATATTGAAGAGTTCAATGTACACTGCACATGAGTGGAATTCGGTCGAGAAATATAATGACTATTTGTGCATTATAAAAAATGATATATTAGTGTAGCTTTGTTAATTTGGGTTTAGTAAAGCATCCATCTTAGATTATTATAGCAATTACAGCACCCATCTTTGGTATGTATGTATAGATTATAGTAGGAATATTTGGTGCATGCATGTTCGTAGTTCTTGTACCCATCCCCATCCTTGTGATTAACTCCTTTAAAAAGGTATCCTAGGTCATAAGGAGGAGAGTTTCCAAACTACATGGCCAAACCTAATACGACTCGGCCGAGGTTTAGAATTATTTATACCGGTGGGTCACGATATTTCTTCTTATTACTTATGATCGAGTATTCGATCTATGCCCGTGCACAATTCCAATTAGAAGTCGAAAATGAGATCAGACACACTAGTTTTTGCCCAATCATATCATAGGTCCTATAATTTTATCTCAAGTGTTGAATACGAACAGACGAGATTGGAAAAGAAATCTATATCATGTCAGTTGTGGTTGGTTTAGAAAAAATTTGAGTTATGTTCTAAACAGGAGGAAAAAATTAAAATTCTAGAATTGGTGAACCGAAAAGATTCTCCTTCTTCTAGGTATAACTTGATCTTTTAGCTCCAGCAGACTCATAGATCATGGAACAAGATAACAACTCAGCACGATGATTCTTATAAGTTTCGTTTGTTCGTCTCAACCATGACACACCATACCATCATATGCAAAATCGAGGACAAAAACTCTTGAAGCGAATTTAACCCAAAACAAATTATACAATTTACTACTAACACATGAAAAAATAATCATTTTCTAAGAAGACAATAAATCTCCAAATATCAAAAAATAAATAATGCATATATATATGATGTCAAGTAACCAATAAAGGCAGATTCGATTGGTTGCTTAGACGTCTTTGCTTTCCAACAACGGCCTTATATATGAAAGCAGATAGATCAGATCAGATTGGCTGCTTTAATTTACAAGACTTTCACTCTTCTTTCCCTAAATCCCTTCGGTGGCCTCGCACTTTGGATCTGCTTTCTTTCTTGTTTTTTTTGCTCTACAAGGATACTAAAAAGGAGTGGCCAACCCTACATATTTGAAAACTCGTGCACTTAGAAAAAAATTATTTCCGACTTTTTTTATTTACGAAAAGAAGAGTATAGCTGCAATAATCTTCTTAGGGCCTTTTGGTCATAAAATCGTATTCCTTCGGACGCAAGAAACAAAAATATCAAACCTGTTCCCACTTTGTATAGGCTTGTAAACCTTCCCTCCAGCATGGGGAAAGTAATGGGCCGACGAAAATGAAAGATGGGCCGGAAAATTAGTTAAGTGAAAATGGGCTGGGAGGTGGAATAGGCTCCTGGGCTAGTACCTGCTAGGCCCTTGACCTGTGTTCTCAGCCCTGGGGAGGAACTGAGGAAGGTATGAAACTTGCCAGCTGCTTACCTTTAAACTGCACCAGTTTCATTGTAAAACTTGTATTGGAAAATTCAGCAACCGTGATTCAACTGTTTCATATCCTTTAAGTTTCGATAATATTGTTGGCACGATGCGATTTCGCAAACACCGTGGTAAAAAACTAGAAAGAAAAATCAGTTTGCTGTGTACTAGAACAACTAGACAAACAATTTCCTTCACTATGGTTATTCCCTTTCAAACTAACAATTTTCAGAAGTTAAAAAGATAAATAAAAATAACTATACTGACCTGCTCTGCCAAAGCTACTGCGGCTGCCAACTCTTATGGCTGCTTCTTCATGGATGTCGAATGATCCACCAACCCAGTAACCCGTCTAAACCAACCAATAAACCGATAAATCCATTTAAACGCAACCCATGAATCAACCGACGCGCGAACCCAACCCACGAACCCAACCCATTTGCCTTGCACAACGGGAACACAGGGCTTCCAAACGGTTTCCTTCCCCTCATCCATCAGTGCGATTCCCTTTGCTGCCAAATCGGCTCTGATTTTATCACTTATTCCAAACTTCTCATTTTTCCTCGCACTGGTTCTTTCCTCAATCAACCGTACCACATCTTCTGCCTTTAGTCCTGCCCTTACCAATGCCCTCTCTCTAAGCTGCTGCAAAACCTGTACACCATGCATGTAAGTTGGTTAACCTCGGCTGGTTACAAAGATCTGAAGTTTCTAAATTTCAATCAAACGACTAGGAAATGAGTCTTATGGCAAACCAACCTCATCATAACTGCAAGTTGGCAGCAAGCCAAGAATTCTCAGTACCGACTCAACTTCTCTACCAACTGCAGCAATGGAGTGAACTAATGGTGACATCTGCTTTTGCTTCTGCCAAATTACGGATGGAGGAGCAGGTGGGTTAATGGAATGATGAAGAGAACAGAGAACAAAAAGGAGAGATGTCCGGAACAAAGAACGTTACCTTTAGGGGTTTCAGATTAAGAGTTATGTACTTCAAGGCTTCATTGAACTTCCTCCCAGTAACTAACTGTGACGTGTTCAAATCGTCGGACAATTTATCATTGAACTCTTCTTGCAGCTTAGTGAGGCATGTTTGAGCCTCACCAGCAATCTGCACAGGCTTCTTGCCACTCTTAGCTAACCTTTCTTGAAATGGTGACAAACAAACCTCACAGTCTTGCAATGTCTGTTATCATCAATGACCCGCAAATTGAACCATAAAAGGTCATCTAAAAGCACAAACAGGCAGAACTGAAGATCCCCCCAAAAGATTAAAAAAAAAATATATACCTGATAAATGAACCAAGCAGTCTCAGAAGCTTGCTCGATCTGGGCAACGGTATAGTTTAGGGGCGTACGGTAATGATTACTTAGCAGGAACATTCTCACAGGCAGTGGATGGTACTTCTCAATAACCTGCAAAGAAATTTGATGTCTTTTATCTTATCATTGAAGGAGAGAAAGAACAGGAGTTGATACAAGAGGGATAAAATGTAACCTGACGGATGGTGAAGAAGTTGCCCAAGGATTTAGACATCTTCAGTTGGTTATTGGTGACATGGCCATTGTGAACCCAGAAATTGACTTTGCTGTCGCTGGAAGCAGCACTGCTTTGAGCCAGTTCATTCTCGTGATGTGGGAATATCAAATCACTTCCACCACCATGGATATCGAACTTGAAAGAGAGGTAATGTGCACTCATGGCACTGCACTCGATATGCCATCCTGGTCTCCCAGGTCCCCATGGGCTGTCCCAGCTCGGCTCGCCTTCCTTTGCAGCTTTCCAAAGAGCAAAGTCTGCAGGATTTTGCTTCCTTAAG